GACGTTCGGAGGATATAGCGCGCGCATGAACATAATCTGCTTAATCAGCGTTGTTTATGCTTCGGGGAAAGCGTGCGTATGTGTTGTGATACTCTAAAATGGCATAAGACATAACTCAGGGGAGAAGAATTGTTGAATAAATTATGTTATTTTAGTTTTCTTTGCGCTCAAAAAGTTTTCTCATAGCTTCGCAAAACTGAATTTGAGCCACTGATGTCACATGGACTGTTTTACCGATTTCCTTACTACGTTTCTGTACCTGGGAACATTACAGTTGCTTTGCATTCTATGCAGGGTCTGAGAGCTCTCACATTTCATCAAAAATATCTTAATTTCTGTTCTGAAGATGAACGAAGGTCTTACGGGTTTGAAACAACATGAGGGTGAGTAATTAATGACAGAATATACATTTTTGGGTGAACTATCCCTTTAAATATGTGTACAATATGCATATTGTGCAATAACCATAAAACACATACACACATATACATATAAAATGTTTTATATTTGTTCATATATATATATATATATATATATATATATATATATATTGTGATGCGCGCCGCTAACTCGCCCTGTCATTTTTCCCACAGAAAGCAGCGTGTGACCGACCAGCCCCACAGGAGCACTGCACGGACCCTCTGCACTGGGAAGACGGAAGAGAGCACTCACGGCACCGGAGCACCTACCTGGACCTTTCTCACTAGCACCCATGACCCCAATAAATCCACCCTCCGGGGTATTGATTGAGATTACTTGTCGTGTGATTCTTCACCCCGTTACTATATATATATATATATATTATATATGAGAGAGAGACAGATGTATATATATATTTTTGCTTCAAATCAAAGTTTGCAAACTGATGTGATTGACCTTGCAGCAGGTAGAGTTGGTTCACTGATTAAAACTTTTTTTTTTTTTTTTTTTTAAATGGGAAAAATACTTCCAAAACCAAATATAGGTGGCCTCTTTATCACGGGGTCCACTGAGGTTGTTTTGGCTTTCCTTGTATAAAGGAAAACAGTTGCAAATTCTTCCAAATATCTCCACAAAATAAAAAAGTAAAACAGGTTTGTAACGGAATGAGGGTGAGTAAACGATGAACTGTGCCTTTAAGCTCTCCAAAATAAAGAAGACATCTGCAGGGCTTTCGTATCAGGACAACCGAGCGTCTCCCACCGTTCTACCACATGAGCACAACGAACGCCGTCAGACACAATCAGGCTCTCTGCGGCTGGGAAAGCTCCTCGAGACAAGTGATAAGCACCTGCTAACCGAACGCCCTCCTAAACGTCTCTCTGGGCGCGCTCGCTTACTAGCAACATGTCCTGATCAATCCAGTGAAAGAAATCTGTCAGGAAATCTTTAGCATTAGGTCTGCCTCCTGAATGGGGATCAGGCCCTTTCAGCGGGGCAGGGTGCGGATGGGTTTTAGGAATCTTCCTTTCCGCATCTCTGAGTGTCAATACGGATTATGAGCATAGCTTTTATCTTTTCGAGTGCACAGACTATTTACTCATTTAAATGGATGAATAAGTATGTTCCCCCTTCTTTGATAAATAAAAAAATAAAGTGACTTTGAATGCATTCAAATCCTGCTCCAAATTCAAATTCGGCTCCCTTATGCATCCTTTGAGATCTAATCTGTCTTTTTAATCCACACAATTCACTGAGGGCAATTTTTTAACATACTTCCTTAAGACCTGAACGGATCAACACAGTCTAGCTATTGTCAGCCCAAAGCACCTTTCTTCACAACTTAAGACCAACAATTCGCTCGACGATTGACTGCTTGCCAGCACATGCAAAGCAGGTGAGTTTAAGAAGCGTTTTCAGCTAAACGCCTGAGCCTAAAGAGCAGCAGAAACATAAAGAACTTTATTTACTGCTATTTCAATGGCTACAAATATAGGCCTTTATATCGCCGTGCCATCAACATAAAAAAGAGCCAACAAAACCTGTGAAGAAGCGCCACAACGACGAACAAATAAAAGCAAATTCTGACATTTCGCATTCAGCACATCTCTTTATAGGTCAGAGGCAACCCTGGCCGACCCTGCATTGTTTCTAAATGCCATTTTGTAAAAGAGGATCTCAGAAATTAATTAATGCATGGGTAGCTGCCACTGTCAAGAGGCACGCATTAAAATCAGTGATTAATAAATTCAAAACACACAACAAACTCAGAGGGGAGATGAAACTAGTATTGTGTTCCCCAGGAAGCGGCACCAGTGCGGGTCCTCCCACCAGCGAGGCGGCCACTCAGATGCCTAATGGAAAGTCGCCGATGCCAGCTGTGTGCCTGTGAATAAAATCACTTTAATTAAAGGCATTACAATGAACAGAGAATACACAAGGCAGAGTCGACAGGAAACGACCCTCATACTTGACAGACACACACACACACAGCCAAAGCGGCATAATACCTAAAAGGAACAGAGGTCCCCGAAGATCTAAACACAAATAAATCGAAAAGCCCGCAGCTTCTTTCTGAAGCTATCAAGCACAACAATTACAGTAAAACACACAATTACATTACACAGATCTTTCCCAATGTTCTTTATTATCAGGTAATCTGGGCGTAAGGGTGGGAGCCTCCGCGTTCTTAGGAAATGTAATTGCCGTTCAGACATCAGATCATTTATTTTCAGACTTCCACAAACCACGCAAATCTTTTTACTCTAAATGCTTAAGCATAAAAATAAATCAGCATAAGGATGCTGAACACCGAACCGCAAATTGTTCATTCTGCAGCAAAAAGATTTCCAATTGTATGTATACTTTTGAAATATCATGCTGTCAAAACAGCAAAATTACTGTCCACCCCCATAAAACAGACGAACGGTTCCTCTTAATCTGATATACAACAAAGATGAGCCCTGATTATATTCACCCTCCTCTTCTTGTTTTAAATAGACTGGGAGCAGTGCCCAGAGACAGCTGGGGTGAGCTCAGCCCAGCTGATGCCGGATCAGTGGAGCAGTTTGTCTACTCAACCATAAGGGGGCGGCAAACGCAAACTCACCCGGACATATGCAATTCATTCACAAGCAAATAGCATGCAAATGAAGAAATCTGACACATGCATAACCCTCTTCTGTATTTAATATAGGAGGACTGCACATGTTTAAAACCAGGCTTTAAAACGGTTGTTCTCTGGCTCATAAGCTTCATGGGAATGTGTCATTGTTTAGAGAAAAACAGTTGAGCTTGAGAACAAATGTTTGTGTAGACTCTTGTGGAAATGCATCAGAAACATGTCAAGTTGATATTGACAGACTTAAGAATATGGTTTGATGCTTAAAAGCATAATAGGTATTGGTGACTTACAAGACATCCTTTTCCTGATTATGTTTTACCGCAAACACCCCCACATTGGTTTCCACTGCAGTCTGTGGGTGTATTTTCTGTACTGAACAGGAGGGGGAGTATGAGAGTGAGGGGGGCAGACAAGATCAAATCAGCATAAAACAAGACAGACTTTGGGCCTGTCCCAAAACACACACTTACGGTCTTGGGCGCTTGAGAGAGTGTGTACGTGACAGGAAGTAAGTGTGCAAAAATTGTCCAAGGTCTAAAAAATACCAAAGCTCAGGTCCCTTAACGCACACTAAATCCACACTATCTCTAACACTGCAGTATGAAAAGTGTAACACATTTTATTGGTGCAGTGATGTATGTGTATTTTGTAAAAACACCACAATTAAATTGTGTGATACATAGGGACTAGGGATGGGAAGATTCCCCGATTCGCTCGGTGTTATCGACATAAAAAGTTAACGATGCGATGCATCGGTTTAAAAAGTGTGCATGGGCTACAAGTTGGCATTTATATCGTGATGCATCGTTTCTAACATATTTGCATCAGTAAAAACCGATTTATTAATATATAATTACTAGTGGATCCGCTATACTTTTATTGTTTAGAAAATGACCAATAATCTGTGACCAATATTTTATATGTAGATTGATTTCTCCTCTCTAAACTGCTTCTCACGCGCATTCTCTCGTCACTGCTGCTGCGTGATTGTGACGCATCACAACACTACGGAGACTTGAGGAAAAGTGGGGATTAAAGTCCAAAGCCTGACTTGAAATAACCTAACAAATCAATCGGGGCTAAAGTGGTTCCATAAATTACTAATTAAGTTCACACAATCTCACTAATTTGTGCACGCTTATTCTCAAGCAGCCCTTAATGTCGATCATGGATCAAATCGATTCACCATCGCAAACAGCGAATATATCTGTGCTGTTTAAAGGGGTCATATGATGCTTTTTTAAAGATCATTATTTTGTGTATTTGGTGTAACAGAATATGTTGACATGCTTTAATGTTCAAAAAACACATTATTTTTCAAATACTGTACATTACTGTAGGTCCTCTATGCCCCGCCTCTCTCAAACGCTTCCTTTTCTACAAAGTCCTATGACCCCTTTAATGCATTTGAGACGTTGTGTTTTCCTCAGTGCAATACTGATGTCACAGGTATTTTTTTCACCTGTAAATGTCAGAAAGTCACGCAAACATATCCATTTTGCTGTCAGGACTGACGCGAGTGAACGAGCTAAACAGACTGAGCGCAATCGAATAGGAGGAGTAAAATATAAATTTTGCTAAAATATTTGTTGTTGGACATTAAATGTGTCTTTTGTAGAATTTTAAACCTACATATAAGTGTATTTTTATGATATCAGTAACTGTAAAGGGGCTATTGTAATAGGTAAATCAAATGTAAGCTAGTTCAGTACTAATTACTAAGCTCAAATGAGTTCATGTGTGTCTCTTATTGCAGAAACTATAAAAGGTACAGCTGTCATAAACCCAGAGAGAAAGGCTGCATGGCTAGAAACTGTAAAAATAAAAAATAAAAAAGTCATATAAGAGTATGTGAGAGAGTAGTAATATGATTGGGTTCCTATTGGTCAGTGTTAGAGGAACTCCGCTTAGCCTGACAGTTAGCCTGCTTTAGACCAGGTCAGTTTCCCAGCATAAGTTGCCACAGTGACTAAGCTTGATCTAGGCCTATGTTAATTTTGCTTTATGGAACCAAATCATTTGACAGTGAGTCAGACTAACTGAAATAAGCCTGGCTTATTTGGTAAACTTGTTTTATGAAACAGGCCTCGAGGCATTAAAAGTGATCATATTTTCGTATTGCATATTTCGTATTTCGTATATCATATTGCATCAAATCGCATTGTGTTGAATCAAATCGAATCGCACTGCATTGTAACAGGGGTGAATCGTATCGTATCGCATCGGTAGCTGCTTCATATGTATCTTTAATGTATCGTATCGTTGGCTATGCATCGAGATGCGTATTGTATCAGTCATGAGATGCACATCCCTAATAGGGACTACGGAATCGAAATTTAGAAGTATATTTCATGGTGCGAAGTATAAAATGTACAAAATGTGTAAATAAAGCTCTGTAAAAACTTCATTTACATTTTACAACACTATGTTATAAGTGTGTCCCATTGGTTAATCAAAAGTCCGAAACATAGGCTACTTGTGGTCAAAATGTGTCATGCAAGTAGACGTGGTCAAGTGCAAAGGCCGCAATTGTGGTTATTGTTTTTCACAGCTCGCAACTTGTTGCTTTATGGAGTTTTTGTCTACTGATTTTTTTTTTTTCCAAAAAGACCTTTCGTAAGCTGAACAATCATTATGTTGCTAATCAACAGTACAATATGCTGCACTGTACTTCTATCCCTCACAGCCGCCTTTTCATTTCTGTCAAAAATTAAATATGGAGCAACCCTGACTAAGGTCTATATGCTAATATATGTCAAACACTAGTCTGAACAGTCTGTACAGGATCTTTGCATATGCCAAGACAGAAGTGAGTATGACTTCAAAGCCTGGTTGCTGCCTAACAGTATCCTTTTCACAGTACAAGAACATATTTCACAGGAATATTACACATTCAGACATTTCCTCATGATCAGAGTTGTGCAGCATTTGAATTGAAGGATGCAGAATTTCAATTCGAATCTGAATTAAGTAGAATTCCAGTGACATTTAGTTAAAAGAAATTCTCATATTCACTGTTATCATACAACAAACAATATGTGGGTTAATTATTTCTACATGTCTATATACAATATTATATGTCATTTCAAGCATTTGTAATGCTACAGGATTTTAATAAAACGTGGGCTAATTTAATTTTACATACCAGGGTGAAATAATTCCTCGTCATTCCAATCCAAATTCAGCTTCCTGTGAGACCTCGCAAAAAGGCCTCTTATTCAATTCTGAAATGTGCTTAATCCTGTTTATAATCACAAACAATGCAGGTATTTTAAATTGCTGGATTGCAGTTTTTCTTCCGCCTAAAGTTTGTACTATGTTTGTCTATGGCTACGTTACACAAAATCTGAAGGGAAAATATCCAAAATATTGAATACTTTTAAAGCGAACTGACCCATGGGTGTGTCACTTTACTAAAACACAATAAATATAATTTGATAACAATGGCTGGTGCTGGAAACTAACCTGATAAATTTTTAAAAACCCGCTAAAATCTCATCAAACTGCACACGTTTTCTTGCGTTTCTGCGCATGACAGGCTGATTCGTGCTCAAACCGCGCCCATTCTTGACTTTTGTTGATGACGTCGAGGTGGGCGCCACTCAGCGAGTCACGTGTGTAAACAGTTGCTGCCACGTGATTTGGCGGGAAAGCTTCCGTGACAGTTGAGTTTGACAATTGACAGCCCACAGGATACAGTTCTTGTCATAAGAGTGGTGAAACTGAAATTGATATTTTACTTTTAAACAATGTAGTGTTTTTAATAAGTGAGGTCGGGTTGAAATGAGGTGATGAGAAAGTTATTTTGTAGCCAAGAATGCAAAGTAAGCCTTTTGCAAATGTAGGCCTTTTTGTTGTTTTAACTTGTTACTCAGAAAAGGTCTACAACAGTAATTCACAAAATACTATATTATATCACTATTGTAATTTCTATATTAATATATTTTGTGAATTACTGTTG